ATAACTTTAAGCTGAAATTTGTTCTTTGTGTTGTAGGTTACGATAAATTGAAACCTTATGGGTTTGCAGTCCATGGCGCAATATGTGGGTACAGTAGGCGCATTCTTTGGTTGGAGGCCTTGAGATCAAATAATGATCCACAGATTGTTGCTGAAATTTATTTAGATTTTGTCAAAGAGGTTGGTGGTTGTCCACAGCATGTGAGGACAGATTGTGGGACTGAAAACGTTTTAATTGCTGGTATGCAATGCTATCTCCGAGCAGATGGTTTGGGTGAATGGGCTGGTGAGAAATCACATATTTACGGATCTTCCCCAGCAAATCAGAGAATAGAAGCGTGGTGGTCTTTTTTAAGGCGAAACCGATCAGGATGGTGGATTGATCTTTTTCAAGATATGTGCCAAACAGGCATTTTAGAACTTGGAAATGTTTACCATATGGAATGTCTGTGGTTCTGTTATAGCAGAATAATTCAACAAGAGTTGTATAATGTGAAAGATCAATGGAACAGCCATTACATCAGAAAATCACAGCATGAAACTATTGCCGGAATACCAGATTTACTGTTTTTTATTCCTGAATATTATGGTGGGGATAATTGCCTTTGTGAGGTATCGCACACCAAAATACTCGAGCTGGAAACAAGTGAGCGAAATGATGAGAGTGAAAACATTTATCAGGAGTATTTTGAATATGTATGTGAAATGAGAAGTTGGCGTTCGCCAAAAGATGTGCATGAAGCATTCGAGATGTTTCAGCAACTAGTTAACCTAATGGAATGATTTTTAGTATCATTCAAGTATCGAAGGTCCAAAAGATAAAAAAGAATCTCATGATACAACAACGATTCTCCTAATCTCTGTTCACATAAAAAAAAATTATCGTCTTGTTTGATGGAACTCAAAAACGATGTAGCTCATGCTGTTGAACATGAACTCAAAAACATTTTTGAGGCATAATAGTCCAGGCAACATTTCTGCAGAAACATAAGTTTTACGATGCTGGATACCAAATCTCTGAAATCAACTGATAGATTATGACTAATATGCTTACAGCATTTGACCCGGTCAGTTAAATATTTTATTAACATAGATAGGCCATAGGAATACAATATAGTTTAACAAACCTCAACATTAGTCCCTGTGTGTTCAAGAACAAAACTCAACATTAGTCCCTGTGTGTCCTGTGGGACATTAGTCCCACGAGAATGCAAAATATAATAATAATAATAATTTAATTTGCCACCATTACAACATTTTGTAAAGAAAAAAGAACTTATTTACAATAATTAATGATAATAGTGGCGAGGAAGCTTAATTAAAAAAGAAACCATAAGGCTTATGTAAATTTAAGCTTCCTCATTATTATAATTTAAGCTTCCTCAAAATATCTATATATGTATATATATATTTACATTTATATCCATATTTCATATACAGTCAGTTCAAAAAAGGTTGATGTTGAAGTTTATGCAGTTCCTTTACATGAAAATTCCCCCCAAAGTGCCTTGCACGCTCAATGTTCAAGATGCATAAATACATAACTACACAAGTCAACCTTTTTTGAATTGACTGTATTAAATATATATAACAAAACTCAAATATAATACTATATTACACACCATCATACTAAATCATACTATATTACACACCTTCATTGGGTCGTTCCAGAAAAGATCCATACCCCCCCCCCCCACGGAGGAAATTTTTGCTGTCCGAAGGGGGAGGGAGGAAAAATGTCTTAGGATGTCCGAAGGGGGGGAGAGGGATGTGGATATGTTTGTCTGAAGGTTTGAGACTGTGATAAAGCCATGTGATCGGCGATTATAATGAGCACGCAATTTTTATCGGCTATATATATGCAGCTCTTGAACACCGGAACGTTTATGTAACAGCAATAATTAAACGTCCACGTAACTTGTAAGCAAAATAAGCGGCCCACTTTTGTATGCATGGCCACCAAAAACTAACTCGCTGTAACAGCGTATCCTGCATGTTTAGAATGAGTCGAAAATTGACACGCTTTATTTATATAGTTTGCAGTTTTCGTTCGCCATATATAAGTTTGCATTATTCAAGTGTTAAAAATAATAGTTATTAAACTGTTGCTCTGAATAATGTTAATAGTTATTAAACTGTAGTTTAAAAATAATAGTTATTAAACTGTTGCTCTGAATGATGTTAATAGTTATTAAACTGTAGTTTAAAAATAATAGTTATTAAACTGTTGCTCTTGTTAATGTGAACTGAACTCAAAACAATTTGTTTTAGTATATAGTCAATAAAGCTTCCTTGCGAGGTGCGTGTCTAGAAAATAGAAATGGCTTTCATATTAAGGGCGACGTTAAGGAATGCAGTAATATACTAAAAAATGTATTAACATGTAAGTAAACACAGCAACGCTTGTCAATCAGTCGCAAGTTACATCGAATTTCAGTCCGAATTTTACTTGAACGAATTTCGAAGTTTCACGTCACTTTTGCCGTAACAATTTGAGCACGGTTTGATAGCTTTGTGTGAACACAAACGTGTAAACTCGAATGCTTTTCAGTTAAATTTCTTGGGTCTATTTGAAATATTTTGGGTTTACACGAGTGCTAATTCAATTTGTAAACAAACTGTAATGGCGGTAGTATGAACACACGTAAATTCTGCCCGCATTAGTTCTCTCGCGCGTAGTGTGAACGTAGTCTAATTTGACGTTTTCAAACGGCGAGGTAGCCTTTAGAAAAATTTAGAAATAGTGGATGTCCGAAGGGGAGGGGGGTAATTTTGGGCTTGGATGTCCGGAGAGGGGGGAGGATGAACCATTCAAGGATGTCCGAAGGGGGAGGGGGTTATTTTCGATTTCCTCCGTAGGGGGGGTATGGATCTTTTCTGGAATGACCCATTCTCAAAAAAAAACTTAACACTGTTTAAAGAGAAGTTGCAATATATTTTTTTTACCTTCTCATTCAAAAGAACTTTTAAAACGATATGTCAAACTCTTTTACCAATTTGGCATATCTTGCTTAGTTGTTGAAATATTTTGATTGAAAGCAATTAAATGTCCGCCATCTTGGATAAGGATTTGATCTCATTAACGTTTGTTTTAGTGACGTCACAACCCGGGTTAACTATACAAAAGTGCTCTTTGATCACCAAATAACAATTGGCAGATGATTTAATGATTTTCAATGGAATTCTTATCTTGAAAAGATTCCATACTATAATTTTTAGCTCATAATAAGTACTTAGCTCATAATAATAAGTACTTTAGCTCATAATAATAAGTACTAGAATATTGCGTGACCCAGGTTGTGACGTAAGCATGCATATCCACAATAATCCAAGAGTTACACCATGGTTTACATTGGTGACCTAAGAAGTATAGTGAGTAAATACTCAACAGATAGACTGATTGTATGTATGACATAAATTAACACTAATTAAATTAACGCAAATTATTAAAATCCGCGTTAATAAAGTGCATCGTTAATTTCCTATAATAAGGTAAGAAAGATAAGCAAAATTGGTAAAAGAGTAGGGGTGCACCAGATTTCAAATCCGGCCGTAATTCCGGCCGGATTTAACGAATTTTCCGGCATCCGGCTTCCGGCTGGATTTAAATTTCTGTTTTCACTTTAAAAAATTCACCAAGAATGGGATAAACCATCAATTTGGCAGCTTTAAAGCTTAAAAAACATTTATATTATTATAAAATAGTAAGTTATTAGTATAATTACATAGGTGATTATTGAAAATTCTCCACGCTGATTGGTTGCTGTTGAGGTGATTATTACGCGATAATCACCCAAGCAATTTTCAAAATGGCGGCCGAAGCCGTTTTGTCAATTAAATGACGAAGAAATGTGTATTTTTTTTCTAAATAATCACCTATGAAATTATACTAAAACAATTATTCACCTCAGGCTCGGTGATTATCGTGAATAAAAACCTCGACTTCGTTTCGGTTTTTATTCACCGATAATCACCTCGCCTTCGGCGAATAATTGTTAATTAACAAAAAGATGTTTAAAAAAGGTTTAAACACAATCAAAAATCTAAACTGACACTAACTAAAAATAGTAAAAAACATAAACCGTCATTTTGAGTACTGATTTATCCCCAATTGTACCCATTACCGGTTTATCTCAAATAAAAAAATATATTGCCATTTTCCTTTAATGAATTTTTCTGGGGAAAAAGAACAGCTTTTGCACTAATAAATCATGTTCACCATACTCCAGAACTTACTATTGTTCCCAGTAAACTGCGAAACGACCGTTTTTTTAGGCGCTTTGTCAGTGACGGTTTTGTCAATTGCAAAGGACATATTTGTGTACCACGCGATTACAATTCTTTGCAAGCGGCGTGTGAAAAACTGCAAGTTTCAGTTTGACATTTCTGGCAGTTGAATGGTTTCTAATTTTACTGTCCAATCAGATGATTTAAAATTAAAAACTATGCATCTGATTGGACAATAAAATTATAAACCATTCAACTGCCAGAAATGTCAAACTGAAACTTGCAGTTTTTCACACGTCGCTTGCAAAGAATTGTAATCGCGTGGTACACAAATATGTCCTTTGCAATTGACAAAACCGTCACTGACAAAGCGCCTAAAAAAAACGGTCGTTTCGCAGTTTACTGGGAACAATCGTAAATTTTTATATAATTTTTCATGCAACATTCTGCAAGATATAAATATGAGATCGAAAAAAGTTGAATTCAAGCGTTTAACTGAATAAAACACAAATTATGTCTATTAGATTACTTAAAGCTAGTGGCCTTTCCTAAATCAAATAATTTTTTTAGTGCAAAAAAATTAAATAAAACAGTGTTTAGTTTTTTTCTGGAGGACGCTTTGAGGATAGTTTACGGACACCCAAATCCGTGAGCATTCTTAATGCCAAATACCACTGCATTCTTGAAGCTGTTGTAATCGTTGTGTACAACAGGCAATTTAATGATGCATGCACACGTGTTGGCTTTAGGAAGCCTGGATAGATTGCCATCTTTTTCAACATCATGAAGAAATTGAATTTCACCACGCATACCAAGAGGAGGTAAAACTTTGCACCCAGATGCAAAAAATAAAATTTCTGCCAAACTAATTTCGGTGGGATCGTCTTCTGCACCTTGCAGAACATCATTCCAATACAACAATACCTGACTTTCAGCATTTCTCCGATTGATCCTTCTTCCGCTCGAATTACTTTGAAAATAGACTCCATAATGACAGCAGTTAAACATTCAGATTCATAACACAAAACTTCTCTGAACAACTTCGGATGGGCCGATATAGCTTCAAGAACACCCAAAGCTCGCAAGCCCTCCTTAAAACTGTTGTACGATGGTTCGCATCTTCCTAACACATGCCAATTTATCGTGAGCTGAACCACCTTGTCGACATCAGCTTTTGTTCACATCACTTTCATCATGCCTGCCATCTCAAATATTGTATCCAACTTTTCAGCATGGATGATTTGGTGAGCATCGGTAACACTTGGAGCTTGCAGCAATTTACTAAAGGAGGATCTCAACTCTAGATCAGGAATTTCTTCAAGTTTAGCAGTAAGGCTAAGCGTTCCTGAATCATTTACGACTGCATCATAACAAGTACTCGACAAACAGTGAATACCGGGGCCACCATGCACAAGGGACATGGCATAGATTTGGCCAGCCATGAAATATTCCATTTCCTCCAAAGAAGTTGCGTTCAGTGACAGGAATTTGGATGTTGGTTCACCAAAGAAGAGTTGAGAATTAAGCAGCCATTCAGTAATGATCGTAAAAAATTCTCGTGCTGGCCCTCCCATGTCAACAGCACCTTCTGATTGCCCAATGTCATCGGTAAATTTAACAGATAACCTATTCTCAGGGCTGAATGATTTTCTATTTAGTGCTCGTTTCGTTCCTTCCCATGCATGATTACGACTTAGATTAAAGATTGAAATGTTTTCAGAGGATATTTGTTCACCAAGATTCGCCAATACCTCTTTCAATGTAGTGTCTTCTTCAATGTCTTCAAAAACATTTACTTCCGTTGCTTCCACCACAAGATCATTCTCAAACACATCAACATTTATTTCATTAAAAAGTAAAGTTGCATACATGCTGTCTAAATCGTCAGAAGGTTGAGTGGTGCTGGAGGAAGCTAACATTCCGTTTGATGATGAATTGGTGTTTCCATGTTTCGATACATTGTCTGTCTTGCAACTATATAAAAATGATAGTCACCAACTTGAATTTTGATAAGACGAGAATGGGATCAGTCATCAGCAGAAGCCATCTGGGAGCTTATTTCATTTTGCTAGTTTGAAAGTGGAGATTAATCCATTGACGTGCAATGCGCCGTACTTTAGTATTTACTCTGGCTGACGCCAGACAATTTTATTCATCAGTGGTAGAGCACTGGTCGTTAATGGGTTAAAGGTTGGCTAATTACAGAATGGAGGCTAATTTGAATAGGCGAATGCACATGATTATAAATAACAACTCTATAAAGTTTCAATAAAAAACACAGCATAATTTTTATTTTGTTGTTTACATTATTGAATCTAAACACACCAGTGCAATTCGGTGTATACAATTCTGTATATAACTGGAGCATTTATTTCTTAATTTAATCATATTTTGTTCTAATCTAGGGTAGGGCTAAATGGAGAATCGGGGCTGTATTTTATTTTTGCAGGTTTTAAAGTGAGGGCGTAACGTATTGGAAGAGGGGGAGGGGGAATAAAAAGAGGCTGGAGGGTAATAGTATATACATATGCATACAAAATAGCTTGATACAATGTTGACCCCTAATTATATTTTGTTTGTACCTGAAACTCTTTTCAACACAAGAACTTGTTTCTCCAGATGAAGCTATGGCCATGGAATTATCACTAAAAAGTGGAAGTATGCTATTAAGAATATAATCATTATAAAAAATGATAATAAAAACTTTAACAATATTTACCAGAAATACAGGATACAACTGCATGTGTGTCGACTACACACATCAAGGGAATTCTTTCTGCACTGAAAAAACAGGAATGGGAGCGGGGAGGGATTGGCCAATCGAGTCACAAATACGTAGATTTGCGTTTTAAATTTTCTATTTACAGTCTTATACTAATCTCTCAGTGTGTGGTGGTGCTACTACCACTGGGGAGATAGAAGAGAAATTGGAGACTGACCTACACAATATTCACAATTGGTTATTAACTAACAAATTAACTTTCAATGCTCAAAAAACTGAGTATATGTTGATTGGATCGAGACAAAAATTGTCCCAAGTAAAATCTGATTTGGATCTTTATTATATGATCTGAGAGAATCCGCTGTATTTATTCTACTAAAACACTCGGTGTATTAGTTGATGAAAACATCACCTGGGTAATCATATTGATTATGTGGCCAAAAAGCCGCTAAAGGAATTGGCTTACTGAGGCGATCTAAAGATCTGCTAGACAGTAATACTCTAAAAACTATTTATAGTACTATTGTTTTACCACACTTTGATTATTGCACATTAGTGTGGGACAATTAGTGTTTACCCACTGAGAAGTAATAATTGCTCTCTCCTTACATAAACTTAACCCAACACTAATGCTCTTAAAAGAAGCTTTTGTTAGGGACCGGTCATTAATTACAGGGGGGGCTGGTGGAAATGAAAAATTAGATGCTAAAATTTTGTTGCCCCCCCCCTTGAGAATAACACAATTATACTTGACACCACCACCACCACCACCGCCACCACCACCACCACATGCAAATAACAAAAGGCATATTCGTAATTTATAGCTCATATAAAGTGAAGCCACATTTAATCATACTACCCTATGATAGTTGCCAACTTTTTGGGAAAAAAAACATCTGAGATTTTGCTTTGGGGGGGTCCACGAGGCGCCACCATAGTTGGTGCCGAACGGAGAAATTTTGAAAATATGAAGTCTCCAGATCGTTAGAAATGGCATTTTCAGAGTCTTCTACACCTTATACACACAACTTTTGGTAGCTTTTATTTAGATATACAAAACCATATTGTTGAATACCCACAAGTACGAGGTTGCATGAAGCAATGTTTTGATTATCTATTTTTGGCGTAAAATTTTTCAGAAGAAAAAAGTTTTATGTAATTTGACGCAAATGAAGTCACTCTTAATAGTTAAAATGTGCAACAAAGCCAACATATTTAAGAACCAGTTGGATTATTTTCGAAATCTGTGAGATATTAACAAGCTGTGAGCTCACCGTTCAAGGTTTTAGTAAAATCTGTGATGCTTATGGTGGATCCGTGAGAGTTTGCAACTGTGCCCATTGTGCCCTATGTACATGTATCGTAATTTATATATTCTTTACCATTTATCGAGTCAACGGCTGCTCCAATCTACATGTTTATGTTGAAATCAGTTTAATAAATGGTGTTGTTTTTGAGTTTACTACAGTTCTACTGCTCTCTATTTTTTATCTGTAGGTTTTATGGTACGACAGTGTCCGGTCATGCGGGGCAGGTATTTATATTGCACAAAAATTTTTGCCCCCCCCCCTTTTCATGCACAAAAATACCTGACCCCCCCCCTCCCCTGTAATTAATGACCGGTCCCTTACAAAGGTGCTGCAGCTTGGAATAACCTCCCATTGAACGAACATTCTACTAGGGAAGGTTGACATATATCACCATGTTTGTACATATTTATATATATATTCTTATCATATATTTTTATCAAATATTCTTACTTTTATTTTTATATGCACGGCCATCTGAAAATCAACCTTATAATTTTTTCTTAATAACTTTTTATTGTATTTTTAATGTTCTAAACATGACATTGACAGATTTTTAACTTAAAATTTTAATAGTTAGGATGGTTGAGATGTTACTGTGCATAAATAAGTGTAAATAAATAAATAAATTATATGTATCACAGAGTCATAGTCTCTAAAGAGAGATATTCAACAATACCTGCAAATTCTTTTGATTTCATGTGTTATACCTACTTCATCATTACTGATATTATCACCACTAATATCCTGTGTTTGATAAAAAAGAAACATTGAAACAAGATTTTTAACTCGTTAAATCTCATTGCGCCCTGGAATTGGGGAACGGGGTAAGTCTCATTGCGCCCTCATGCGCCCTGGATGACACGTCAACTTCCGGGCACGATTGTCTAGCGCGTGTTTATCGGGTTGCCTAGCAACGGTCACGAGTATAAAGTGCAAAATTCGGGCTTTCAA